AATTTTTTCGTTATATGATATACTATCCATATCAATACTTAGTAGGGTAATTAAATCCTAATATAAATTCTCGCGATAACAATAATATAAAATTGACCAATAAAATATAACATTTGTACATTTAATTCTTAGAATCATCATTGAAATTGAAATAATTACATCTTTAATTTATTGATATTTTAATATTTAAAGTTAATAAAATTTTTAAACATAGAATTAAATTGAAAATTTTGTAATTCAAAACATTAATTCTTAAAAGTTATGTAGATTCTAAATAATATCAATGCATTAAAAATAATTTATAAACTATAAATAATTTATAAATTATTTTAAACTATAAAGTATAATGTATAGCAACAAAACAATCCGTGCAATGCATGAGCCTTCACCCAATTAGAAATAAAGCTACAAGTCACCTGCCATTTTTATCTCTAATTAAAATTAATGACCCCCATAAGCTTTGTCATTCTGCACAGAACCATCCATATTAAGTTTGTAGCCATTAAGAGAAAGAGACCAATTAATCCACTTTTTTGCACTTAAGGAGGACCCTTCTTCTGCAAGCAAGAAATAGAATTTTGATGATGCCAAATGTTCTAAAACTCATATCGAAAACCATGGACCGAGGAACCCCACTGAAGATGACTGATATTTGGATCTTATCTCTTTTCGAGATAGTTGAGTAGTTACATGAATCTCATCGGCGATAGCTCCGAAAAACACCTCAAACCTCGATCCTTTATCTTCGGAAAGGCTATGTACCATTAAATCATTAAAACACAATTGGGATCTTTTAAAGTTGGGATATCTTACTTTGGTAAGAATAAAGGAGTTGTCGCCCTCTTTAGGGAATACTAACGTGATATAGCATGAAAAATTGGATCCCTTGTAGTAGGAACCCAATTCACATACCAGAGATTGGGTAAGAAAGTTGGGTACAATCTCAAGAAGGTGTTAGGCACCCGAGCTCGCCTGGCCTATAGGTCGGTCTCTAATATTTATCCATTCATTCATTTTAAAGTGTTCAGATTGACTTAATCGAGATGTAAAATTATTTCAATGCAATTTTATTTGAAACATGACATCCATAAAACATTATTACATAAAAATAAAATGCATCCATAGAAAGAGGGAGAAGAAAAGAATTACGTCCTTTAGGTCCTAGTTGCATTCTAACCAATCAAAATCCCGATTCCCAAAACCGGATCCATACACCCTTAAATCTAAACAATTAACAGTATACAAATTATGAATTAATGAATCAAACACAAAAATAATAAGAGGTCAACAATGAACTCATTCTAGCCAAACTTCAACCCACAATATATATAGTAATCATCACAATAGTAAAAACACAAAAGCAATAATCACGATAATGAATAATGAATCAAAAGCAATAATCATGACAATAAGAACACAAAAGTAACATTCACAATATTAAGAACACAAAAGCAATAATCACACCTATAGAAGAAGCATAAAACGATAATCATAATAATTAAAGCAATAAATAATGAATTAAGGAATCACAATAAGCATTAATATCTAAAATTAAACGCTCATGGATTATGATTTAAGCTTTTGATGATCTAACCTTAAAGGAAAGAACAAAAGCTTTTGATGATCGTAACCTTAAAGGAAAGATAACAAATAGAAACAATCACTAATAAATCCCAGAATGAAGAATTAAATATACCATCACTACCAAGATCCCCATGAGTTATTGATATTTAAATGCTCTAATGAACTATGAATCATCATCTAGCATAGGTCTTGATGTCAGCCATCAAGGGAACCAACAAGAGCGCAATTTTAATCATGAAGAAACAATACCACATACGCCTTTGGATAGACACCTCGTAACGCCCCACGTAAATGGTCTTGCATCATAATATTAGGGCGTCCTGGTTCATATACGAAGATATAGGAAACAGAGCAGAACAAAAATAAAAGAGTGTTTACTACTAAGAAATGCGTGCAACATACGAGGTGGTGTCTGCTGTTGCGCTAACCCATACGCGTCTTTAAAGTAGTCATACACTAACTTTCCTCAGCTGCAAACAACTTGAATGATCCTAGGTTTCCCTCAACGTCTAAGTTGTTGAAGAAAATGGTTCTTACAACAAAGAAGATAGAAATGTATTGAAAAAGGAGATTAAGCTCTCAAAAAGTTACCTTTTATAGGCAAACTGAACAAATACAAGCTTCAAAGGGTTTTTTAAGACACCTTTAAAATTCATGAGTTTCTTAATGCAAATCGAGTTTACTGATCTAGGATTTGATTCATGTTTTTCTAGTGATTTGATTAAGTTTCTTAAAAAAAGCCAATAGGTTTTCTATCAAAAGACTTAGTTTTTATCTCTAAAAAAACCCCTTTGTATTTGTTTTCAAAATAGTGAATAGTGATATCTTAATTGTGAAATCGCCTTCTCCCTCTGCCATAATAGACTTCTATTTATGCATAAATGAAAATGAAAACCCTATTTCTTAGGTTTTAGGTGCAAAAAACCACTAAATGGACCTAGAGATTAATAGGGCCACACTTTAAGAAATTGGTCACTAGTAAGTAAAACGAGACGATGCAGATCTGGGACGAGTAAGTGGGGAAAGCCATAATCACGCTCAGGACAATGTCCTCATATGTAAGATCCCAAAAACAGTCACAAAAAGGGAAATTCGATAATTTTTCTTAGGTTTAAACTTGGGTTATCGAAGAGACTTGCTTCGTAACCCCCGGAACTTCTTCGTAGTGGCTCCGTTCCATGCCTCATTTCATAGGGAACCTCAAAGTGGCTCTATTTCATTATATTCCATCCAGATCCCAATTCCATTTTTATATTGTCATTGACATGACATAAGAGATGTCGGTTCTAGTCTATCTTTTTCTATTTCTATATATGTATATGGAAAGTTCAAAAATCATCATATAATAATCCAGAAATAGAAAAGAAAAAAGGGAGGTTAATGATGATTTTAAAATCTTTTATACCAGGGAATCTAATATCCTTATACATGACGATAATCAATTCGGTCGTTATGGTCGGACTCTATTATGGATTTCTGACCACACTATCCATAGGTCCCTCTTATATCTTCCTTCTACGAGCTCGGTTTATGGAAGAAGGAGAAGAAGGAACCGAGAAGAGAGTATCAGCAACAACTGGGTTTATTGCAGGCCAGCTCATGATGTTCATATCAATCTACTATGTACCTCTGCATTTAGCATTGGGTAAACCTCATACAATAACTGTCTTAGCTCTACCGTATCTTTTGTTTCATTTCTTCTGGAACAATCACAAAGACTTTTTTGATCATAGACGTCCTACCAGAAATTCAATGCGTAATCTTAGCATTCAATGTGTATTCCTGAATAATCTCATTATTCAATTATTCAACCATTTCATTTTACCAAGTTCAATGTTAGCCAGATTAGTCAACATCTATATGTTTCGATGCAACAACAAAAAAGAATGTTATTTGTAATAAATAGTTTTTGTTGGCTGGTTAGATTGGTCAATTTTTTTTATTCATGAAATGGGGTTGGATTGATATTCAGTCTGGATACAGCAGAATATTATATTAATCAAATGTAACCTTTTTTGGTTCTAATAAGTACCTTGTGTCAGAAATTGAGAATTCTATGGCTCGGATCTTTATTTAATAAAAGAGCCTATATCGATAAGTCTCCATATAAGAGTATCCTCTTCCTAATATGTTTTACATGACAAAATCATCTACAGATTATCGAAAGAGTGGCCATAGGGAAGGAACTCAACCAGTGAGATTAAAGCCAAACTCCTGCAGGTCATTAACATTTTTTCATCTAAGGTATGATAGAGCATCTATTACGGATGGGACTTTACTAAAATTGAATTGCAAAACAAATCATCAGTAGTCCATGTCTATCACGCCTAGATGGGATCGTTGACCTAATTGCCAACAAAACTAGATGATTGCGCTCAGTAAAAACTACTGACTCCAAATCTCTATCACTCCTCACCATAAATGCGAACAACCACTTATGCATTTTCTGGAATAATATTTCCTACCTTCAGGCCCAACATTCTATATCGGCTTAGCACTTTCACCCAAAGAGAATTTAGACAGATGTCGCAACCTTCATCACCCTTGTATGCCACGGAAATTTAATTTGCATTTTGGTTGGTAAAAATTTCCCCAACATGCTCTCCAACCTGGGAAATGCTGCAATTTAGAAGGGACTTTTGTCAAGTTTTCCAAATTGTACACCAGATAATCACGGACTTCCTCACAAATGATGTCGTAATACCTCTTTTGACTGCCCACGTTTTTAAGTTGATCTTATAAGCACTTCTTCCTTCATAGTTCCCTTTGAGACCAATGCCGACACTAGCGAATCCATTTGTGAGTAATCTTTTTTTTTTTTTTTTTTTTTTTTTTTTTTTTTGTAGACCCTCGGTTATCTAGATTTAGTTACGCCTACGCCTGGCTCTTTTTTTTTTTTTTTTTTTTTTTTTTTTTGTAGACCATCGGTATCTAGACTTTATTACGCCTAGCCTGGCTCGGGGCTTAGTCACAGTCCTCTCTGTAGGTGCGTTTAGTGAGATTGAACTTGATAGTTTTTCCCACATGCTCAGCCTGCGTTGCTAACTGAGCCACAACTCGTAGGCAATTTATGAGTAGCCCTTAATAACCAATCTGGCCTTATGTTTATGAATTGACCCATGTGAATTTAGTTTAAGCCTATGTACCCATTTAACACCAAAATAATTGAGGATTTTATCAATTTATTAGAGATAGTGTTTTTTACATATTAAAAAATTTTAATATACTCCGCAAAAATTTATATATATATATATATATATATATAATATAATATATATTATATATATATATAATATATTTAAGAATTTTTTTAATATTTTTTAAAATAATATATATTTAAGATTTTTTTAATTATTTTTTTAAAATAAAAAAATTCTTAAAATAAATGGTTGAAAGAGATCGTTTAAAGGCCAGAACCCATGAAATAGAAAGAGAGAAAGGATAATCTATTTCATGGTCGTGTGTTTCTTTTCTTTTATGAGTGAATTTTACCAAAAGAAACTCTGGCACAAACTCACTCTCAAGTTCGAGTGAGTAGTTCGTTACGCAGACTGTCCAATCTCAACTTCCACTCTCAGTTTGTATGTTCATTTCTGTTTTTTGATTGTGAATTTCCATTGCACAGCTAGGGTTTCGCAGATATTTGTTTTTGGCTTCTAAATAACGAATTTTTGCTGGTTATATGAAAAATGTAATTACATTTTCATATGTCTTCATGTTTTCAATTTGCTTTTCAGCTTAATTAAGAAGAAGAATGGGGACATTGGGAATAGGTGCAGTGGTTCAAATGAATTCAGAATTGTTATCAGCAAGAGGAAAAGGGAAGAAGAGGACTAAATCCATCAGTTTGCTATCTCAGAAAAAGAAACCTCAAAATCATAGTTTCCAGGTGAATTCCAATCTCGGTAGCAATAATGAGGTCTTGGAAGTGAAAGACATAAGAGATGATTGCCAAAAGTATAACAATAATGAAGTCTTGCAAGTTAAAGAAATAAGGGATAACTGCAAAAAATGGGTATGGAAAGGCCAATACTCGATCAATTACTTGGTTAAATCTGATTCTATTAATAATGACACTACTCGCCCATGTCTCCTTCTTGTTCATGGGTTTGGCGCCTCCATTCCTCATTGGCGCAGGTTTGCTTTCAATTTGATTGCTTAGACATCCTCAGTTTGCTTTCATTTCCTTGTACATATTAGATTTACTATTAAAATTGGGATTCAGATAAAAAATATGACCACATAATCCTTTACCAATTTTTTCTTATCTACTTATTTTTGCTGGCTCAAATGTTTGAGGTTGTTACAGGAATATTGCCACATTGGCACAAAATTACACAGTCTATGCAATTGACCTTCTTGGCTTTGGTGATTCAGATAAGCCAAAGGGTTTTTCATATACCATGGAGTCATGGGCTCAAGTATATACCTCATACAAATCAACTTATTTTGAATTATTATTATTTTTTTTTATATGCTGCTAACTCTGAATCATTTAAAAAATTACAGTTGATTTTGGATTTCTTGGGTGAAGTTATTCAAAAGCATACTGTGCTTATAGGGAATTCTGTTGGAAGTCTTGCTTGTGTAATTGCAGCTTCAGGTATGTGCATGTTATCTTCATTCTTACCCTGTAGAAACAGTCAATTCATAATTATCCAATTTTTTCTTACGTACATTTGTGCTTGCATACTTTGTGTAACTGCAAGCAAGAATCTAGACAAAATTTGGTTCAAGGACTTGTGCTGTTGAATTGTGCTGGTGGCATGAACAATAAGGCAATAGTTGATGATTGGAGGATCAAACTGTTATTTCCTTTACTTTTGTTGATTGATTTTTTATTGAAGCAGCAAGTAATTGCTTCGACCATTTTTGAGCGTGTAAAACAGAGGTATGTTTATCTTTATATATATAGTTTTCTTATATATATATTATATATATTATATATATATAGTTATGATGTATAGTTAACCTTCCAATCCCATAGTTATGATTTATAGTTAACCTTCCAATCCCCAATGCAAATATGAGAAATGTTTTTCATTTAAAAATTTTTTTTTTCTTTTTTTAAAGTTGTGTGGTGATTGATGCAGAGATACATTGAGGAACATTTTATTGTCTGTTTATGGAAACAAGGATTCAGTGGATGATGAATTGGTAGAGGTATTAATTGCTATTCTCTTTAGGTCATGTTTGGTCCGTTCAGAATTGGGAATGGAATGGAATTCTTGGAATAGAATTGCAAGTATTGTTTTGGTTCACAAAGATTCCAAATTTTTTGATATTTTTATTTTATATTGAGATTATATATATTTTTAAGCACCACTTTAATAAAAATAACAAATTATATTTGATTATTTAAAAAAATAAACTTGGAATATGATGTTTTGAACTTAAATATCCATTTCCATTCTCATTCTCATTCCAAGTGAACCAAACAAGCCAGTACAAATATTTTCTTTTTGCTCCTGAAACATGTAATTATTAGCATATTATTTCTTTATAAAAACTTCAGATCATTAAAGGACCTGCAGATGATGAAGGGGCACTTGATGCTTTTGTTTCCATAGTAACAGGCCCACCTGGCCCAAGTCCAGTGACATTGATGCCAAGAATTAGCATTCCTGTTCTGGTTCTATGGGGTGATGAAGATCCTTTCACACCTCTTGATGGCCCTGTTGGTAGGTACTTCTCTTTGTTACCTTCTCAATTGTCAAATGTTAAGCTTTACGTATTGGGAGGGGTTGGACATTGTCCCCATGATGACAAACCTGAATTGGTTCACCAACATTTGCTTCCTTGGTTGTCTCATTTAGTTGCTTCATGACCATCATTATATACTTTTTCCAATTCTTTTCCTATTTGTAAGTAAATATTAGGTCTTTCTAGATGCAACCGCTGTGTAGCCATCATACTAAAGACTGCATTTGGATGCATAAAATGTAATTGCAGAATGTATATATAAAATTACAGAATATGAATGAATGAATAAATACAAAAAGTGAATCAAAGGCCAAAATAAATTACAAAATTTGATAATAACGTTAGAAAAAGTGAATGACTAGTTTCTCTGCTTCTTAATTATATATTGTTCTTGATTGATAGTACTTGGGTAAGCTCTAATTTATGGGTTTTTTTTTTTTTTTTTTTTTTTTTTTTTTTTTTTTTTTTTTTTTTTTTTGTGACGAATTTTTATTCATTTGTTTGGTTTATTATATAGATCCTTCTAAATGAAATGATATGATTTAAAGAAAAATTTTCTGTAGTTCTAATAATTCATGGGTATAGAATTAACTGATAGGGTTAGTTGTTTGAGAATGTTATAATTGTGTGCAGCAGTTGAGTCTGAAACTACAATGAAGGTCAATGCAACGGAGGTTTAGTCCTTGAAAAATGTAATGATGAATTTAAGAGTTCGTACTTTTATTGTGGTCTTCACAGTTGGTTATGAGTGACAGCATGTAGAGTGAGACGTTTAGGCAACAAAATAAAGTTAATTTTCATCTCTTTTCTTGATTGCAGCTTAACTGGGGCTGTTCAGAATCGGGTCGGGTTGCATTTGTTCGCATACCGACCTGAACTGAAAGTGAATCTACACTTTGTTTGGATGGGTGAGGCAACGGTAATTAATAAAAGGATAAGGGAGGTTAAAGGAGAAAAAGAGTAGGTAGGGTCACAATAATAAAACTATTGTATTTTGGTAAGAAGTAAATTAATGTATAGGTAGAGAGAAGGAATATACATTCTTTATGTTAGAAAGAGGTGAAGGAAGAGAAATGGATTTATTTTAGTTGTAAATGAGTTTAAACCTTACCTCTTCGTTCTTGCACCTCAAATTCGGTGTAAGAAAAATCGAGATTTGATGGGGAAAATTAGGTAAGGTTTACCTTGTTTATCCTTATCTCTTTTTGACTCATTTCTTTCCGAACAGGGGTACATAAATTGCCTATCTATTCATACCACACCTCAATCTAGGCATGGCTGGTTCATTGAATTTGAATCGGCCATTGAATCGTCGCTTTTGGTTCGGTTCCGATCACGGTTTACAGCAATATATGTTTTTTTTAAAAAAAAAAAAATCGGTTCTAACAATACATCTTTCTTTCGAAAATATTAATATGAATTTAAAAAATATTGATAAATTTTATTTAAAATAAATTTTAAAATGCTCATACTCATATAAGAATAAAATTAATTAATTTTACAAAATAATCAAATAAATTTTCACTTTATTTTGTTTAAATGTTATTAAACTTTATTTGTTCATATAAGAATAAAATTAATTAATTTTACAAAATAATCAAATAAATTTTCACTTTATTTTGTTTAAATGTTATTAATTAAATAAATTATAAGAAAATTCTGGTTCAAAAGAATGTAATTTTAAACTTAGCAAACAATTTAAAAGGGTGAAAAAAAAGTTAAAAACAATGTAAGTTGAGACTAAATATTTCTCTCTTTTTTTATTATTTTATTTTTTAGATTTTTAACTTTTAAAGTAAAGCGTATCTAAAAAAAAAAAAAACTTAAATAAAGTATATTATGCAGTTTAGGGTTGGTTCGGGTTTAGATTTTAACATTCACATGAATTTTAACCGGTCTTTAAACCGCCGGTTCCGGTTCAAAATTTTGAACCGACGGTTTCGGTCTGATTTTGATTCATCTACAGTACGGTTCGATTCTGGTTCAAAATGAACCGATGGTCATGCCTATCTTAATCCAAACAGGCCGTAAGAAGCAAGCAGGGATACCAGTCGATGAAAGCTCTTCAATTATTCTGTCATTTATTATTCTATATGCACTCATTCTATTTCCCAACCAACCAACAAGAACTACTCAAGTCGTTATTGCAAGAAAACAAAAAGAAAAGAATGAACATTTTTTTTTTTTTCACAAAAAGAAGTGGCCAAGCCAATGTTGGAGTAGTCATGTTGAAAGGGCCAGAAAGTCTCCTTCAAATTTCGCAAAATCTGCTCATGGTATAGTTGAAGCAAGGGGAAAAGAAAATAACCCAGCATTTAAGGAGAAAAGAACGAGAATCCAGCCAGAAGAACCCATTTATAATAAAATTTTACAAAATCCTACATACCACAATAACTGGCAATCGGGATGGAAGAGAGCTTCAACTATGAACCTAAGGTCACATTGCACAGCAGAAAAACCCGAAAATAACTCACTTTAGCTGTTGTGTCAGTGTCAGGGAGAGGCAAATAGCCCTGAGCTGAGCACTGACTCGGAGTAGGCAATAGCACATCAATCACTCAATAACAAATCAACGTTGGGTTCAATTTGTATAGATTTATCAAGATCCTCAACCCAGTGGTTATTGCCATTGTCTCTGACAACCTACGGTTAAGAGTAAGCAAAGCAGCCAGGAGTCAAAACCTGAAGAAGAAATAAAAAAAATTAATTGAATTACAAACAAGGAAATATATTTGAGTTGCCATCTGACTGGCTTTAACTGCATGCAATCACTCTTGAAGTTGAAACCCCTCCTCCACGGGCTGCAAACAGACTAGGGTGGTCTCAGTTGGCATCAAACAGAACCCAAGTTCACAAAATTGAAATGAACTTTTAAAAAGAAATCAACCAAACTGACCATACTGAAATGACCAAACTAAACAAATTTCAAAATTTTATAAAATATAATTAAAAAAAAATGTTCTTACACATTTTTTTATCTGGATGTGAAATCATATTTGATTTTCGTTTCTCTTTTGCATAGGCATAGCAATGAAATTATCGCTTGCTTTGTCCATCTTTTTTTGTGAGTATTTTGATTTTTATTACTATTATATTTTTGTTTTTTTATTGTTTCTGTGGAATTATTAACATTTGAAAATGTTGCATTTGCAATTAATCATATGGTATTTACTAAATTAACAGAAAGGGACAATTGATAAAAGGGCATTTTAGTCTTTCTTTTAATTTTAACAACAGAAAAATAGAAATAATTAAATGGAATTCAATATATGAGGACGAAACATTATATTTTAAAAAATAGGAGAACAGACAGTACCTAATGACTATATTAGTAAATAAAGGCTAGGGGTGTGCAAGGCCTGATAAGGGCAGTTTGAAGAAATTTTCAAACCAAACTGATAATTATGGTTTGTGAATTTTCTAAACTGAAACTTAACTGTTTTGAGTTATAAATGAAATTGAAATAATACAGTTTGGTTTAAGTTTTAAAGACTAAAGAAAATTATTTTATAGTTTTATAAATTACATTTACTATAATATTTGTTGATTATATTATATAATATTATGCAGTTTACATTTAGAAAATTCGGCAATGCCCATTTCTTCTTCTTGAACTTTGTTCTCATCATCAAAGTCAATTTCGATTTCTTTTGCTTTCTTTCTATGTCACACACTCTCTCTCTCTCTCTCTCTTGTCTTCTTCTTCTCTATTTTCTTAATAGAGGAAGATTTATATGGCCAGTTTATTTAGTAGATCCACCACAGTACCTAAATGGTAACCCTAATAAAACTTGTATTTAGGTCTCTTTCTTCAGATCCATCACACAGGTTGATTTTTTTTATGGTTTGATTAGAAATTGTGCCTATTTTTCTTAGCCCAAACAATGCTTTTTTGCTGAATTTTTAGGTACTTTGTTTAACTTAACCCAAGGCCATGTAGTGAGTACCACTTTATATGCAAATCCTGGATGTAATTTGAATTTGGGATGACAGTATATTTAAAATGGTAAATTAAGATCTCACGGGATAAATGTCATTTTAGAGTGATTAGTTTTTTTATGACATGCCTTGCACGTTAACTGTGCTTGTTATATATTCATTTTTTTTATTTTATCTATATAATATTAAAATATAAGTTTTTGTTTAGATTAAAATAAATATAAGTGGTTAATTTGTATTGCACTTTGGCATACAAACTACTTGTAATACTATTTTTTTATCTATATAATATATATATATATTTTTTTTGGCATACAAACTACTTGTAATACCGTATTTTTTTATCATATAATGATATTATATATATATTTTCTCTCTCTCTTAAATAATGATTATCTTATATTCATTTGAAAAATTTATGTTTATTAAACAATTATACCCCAGTCAAATATATAGGCGAAAAATATTAATTAAAAATGAATATATTTTTCTTTATCTATCTCTTTTCAAAATAGATATTTTAAAATTATAAATCAAATAAAATCAGAATATTTAAAAAATAAAATATAAAAAATTTATCTAATGTCTCATGATGCATATTTACATAAAAAAATAAACTTAAAAAAGATAAATCTTAAATTTTAAATTTTTAATTATCTTATTAATATTAATTTATTTATAAAAATTGTTTTTAGTTTAAAAATAGTTTTTATAAATTATATCCAATCAAATAATAAAATATAAATTTCTAATTGATTATGATTAAGATTATTTTAGAATATTCTAAATTAATGGGGCTATCGAAAATCTTATTATTCCTTTCTTCTTCCATTTATATATAGTATAAATATTACAGGTCGCAAAATTAATTCAAAAGGCAAAATGAAACTCTTTCCAAAGAAAAAAGTTGTTCTTGACTTCATCCTAAATGGATGCTGTAATTATCCAAATCAGACAAATCTGTAATCCAAATAAAAAAGATAGCAACCTTTGGAATTCAGTGGAAATATAACATCATAAGAATTAAATGCATAAGAAAGGAAAGAAAAATCATCCAAACATATAGCACAAAATAACACCTGGATAATAACACTTGAATTTGATTTTTTAGGGATTTGATCAGTAGGGCCTTAGAGAAAAGACGAGGTCGTTGAGAACCATTAAACGGAAGTCATAACGGATATTTCTCATGATTTCCAAGCCACCATCGGCTTGTTTGGCAAAGATTTCAGTTCTGATTTGCTAAGTAAGTTATATAATAAAAAACAGACCCCACATGTGCAGAATTAATTTTCGAGTTAGCCATTTCACGAGGAGGCACCCGATTATAAAATTTTATAAAATGAGACGGTCAATCATTATTGATTTATGTTGAGAAGCTAAAATAGAAGAAAAAGTGAAACTTCAGACTAGGCATGGCCACCGGTTCAGTTTTAACCGGAACCGAATCGTATTGTAGACGAATCGAAATTGGACCGAAATTGGCGGTTCAAGGACCGGTTAACGTTCATGTGAATATTAAAAATTGAATTTGAACCGGCCCGAAACCGGCGGTTAACCGGCGGTTTCGGTCCGGTTCGAACCGGATTCACAAACAAAATTATTTGTTGACAAACAAATTATTTGTTGCAATAATACTTAATTTATAAAAATTTAGTAAAAAAAACAGTCATCGCATTTCACTTAATTGGTTTTTAAAAAAAAGGTTCTAGGAGTGAAAAAAGCATCATCATTTCACTTTTTTTTTTTTGTTTGGAAAGCCTCATTCATTTCACTTAATAGCATTGAACTTTTTTTTTTTAGCAAATACCTATTTTTTCTTTTTACAAAAATGAACTATACATTACACAAGGTTCAAAGTTCAAACGGCCTATAATTGTTTTATTATAATTTAACAATTATTTATTTATTATAATTTACTTAAATTAATCCAAAAAATATCAATTGTTTTTTTCTGTTATTAAGGGGACAATTTGGAAAACTACATAAATGAAAAAATATGTATAAATATGATTGGAATTGAATTTTTTTTTTTTTTTGCACAACCAGATATATATTCTATCTCTCCTCTTTCTATATTACTTTATTTCATACATCCAATTCTAAATTCCATTAATTTCATTTTCATATTCATTACATTAATTCCATTTAAAATTATGGCACACAATTCACAAAGCTCAAGGAAAGCGAAGTTGCTCAAGCGTGGAAAGAAATTGATTTTCAAATGATCCATGGATTGATTTCACCACAAGAAGCAGATACTCCTAATACTTTTTAATAAGTTAAATCACCCAAAATCAGATATTTTCAAGAAGCACTTTTGCGAAAATTGTTTAGATATGGAGAAATCAAGTGGCTTCGTCAATGTGGTTCGATGTAATTATTGCAAAAGAATATGCATTCAAGCTTGGAGGAGGATATTCCACTCTCAATAGGCATTTAAAATCACATCATCCAAGTGAGGTAGTGGCACTCTCATTAACGGGGACTAGTGGCACCGATGACTAAAATTAATTGTAATAATTGAGAGGTTATTTTCCAATGTAATAAAAAAAAAAAAACTATGTGGGCTTTGATTTTTTCTAATTTTCAAGAGGATAAGTAGCCAATTAAATTAAAATTTTTCAATTTTAATTTAATTCAAGCCCAAAATAAAAAAATTATAATTTTCTATATTAGTGAGTTAGCAAAATTTGTAAATAAATTTAATTGTAATATAAGGTTTCTAAATTAATAGAAGAGTTTTTGTTATAAAATTTTATAATAATTTATTTAGTTAATAAAATGTTAAAACATTTTAACATTATTATTTATTCACGAATTTGCGGATCAAAAATTTTATTATTTTTTTTAAAAATTGCGTAATACCAAATCGGAACCGTAATTTGAACCGTCGGTTCGCCGGAACCGTGCTGAACCGTGCCGGAACCGGAACCGGAGGTTCAAGAGCCGGTTCCGGTTCAAAATTTTAAACATCTCGAACTGGAGGTTCAATGAATCGAAACCGGCGGTTCATTGAACCGGCCATGCCTACTTCAGACATTGAAAATATAATTATCCAATCTGCAAACCAGGAAAGGCACCTATTTATAGAAATTCTAAGAAGAAAATTACACAATTAATTGTTTGAATAATTAAAACCAATTGTATACAATTTACAGTAAAAGTAGTCAGTCATTAAATATACACAATATAACAAAAATGAAATTAAGTTTACAACATGGCATCTCCCCAATCAAGTCGTTACTCACCTGATCTGGGTCCATCTGCTGGTTGGTCGCTGCCGATTTTGGAAATAGGAGCAATAAGGTATGGAGCAGGTTGAGAAGCGAATGTAGTACAGGCGGATCTCATTTCCAGAGATTGTTGTTGCATCTGTTGCAGCTCTTGTTGCAGTTCCATGATTATTCTCCCTTGAGCATCGATCTGCTCCTTCAAATTACGAATCATCTCTGCCTTATCAGGATCTTGTGCAGGCAACATCGGACTGGGCGACCTTGGACCTTCATGGGAATAATAGTTCGAAGCTTGGGAGCTAATTTCATAAACTCCATGCTCCTGCATCCATCCTGTACCCTGTTGTGCGAAATATCCCTTCTTTAGGGTTTGGTAAGCATCTTGCAAAAGCAACTCAGATTAAATATTCCATAGAGAAGTTTAACTAGGTAGAATAGAAGGTAAAATACTGAAAAACTTACAGCAACATCATTTGACCGCTTGTCAATAAAGGTATGCCTGTCATGGTTATCTGTATGGGTACGCTTGATTAACTCCTCAGATGTAGGATTACATCCAATCAATTTAGCCTGTTATGTTCAAAACAACAAGTTATTTACAATCTAAGAAACATTCAATTACGAAATTAGAAGTTGCCTGCATACAATACGTTTCTTCTGTTGTGCATGTGAGATAGAGCCACCGGCTTGGTGTGATGGACCAACTTCCTCGCCATCCATCTCTTTGTGGTGATTCTTTGAGTTCTGCGTCGACACGGCAAGGTACTCTGAGACTTTCCAGTCCTCATTCCACTTATTCCAGACATTATCTGGAATATAGGATTGTTTTCCTTTTCCCCTAAGGGAGTTGAGGAAATTCTCATACCTCACGGCCACTTCGTCTTGCCACACATCCTCAGTAAAGGCACATATTGGTTCATCGCATGGAAAGTATTTCTGCATATGATATAGAAAAAGAGTCAAAAGTAATATCATGCAGTAGCTAATAAAGTAATAGAAAACATATGAAGTTAGAAAAATTAACTTAATTTCCATAATAATTTACAAATTTTGAAAAAAATCCGACAATATTTCCTCTAAAACATGAGTTAATATCAGTTATGAGTTCAACAAATGCATTGCCAAAAAAAAAAGTCTCTATGGCTTCAACACAACAAACACATCAAAAAAAAAAAAAAAAAAAAAAAAAAAAAAAAATCTAGCAATTATATTTCTCATACATACAGTTTTTAAAAACTCACGATAGCATCAATTAATCTTAATAATTGATATAACTCATAACAACCATGCATTGTTCATTATTAGTAGGATTTTACTTTGTTTATTTTGAAAACTACATGTATAATTGCATTTTATTCACTTGAAAGCAAATTCTTAAAATATAATTAAAATTATTTGAATAAAAAGCCTTGAAAGTTACCTTAAACCGCTTCCAATAAAACTCTCTTGTATTTTTGCTCACCTTCTTCCAGCTTGAGCCTTCCACATCTAGTCGCTCCTTGAAAATCTTAGTCATCCGTTGTGAAAAAGTATGAGACAAATCCAACCTGTTGCATTGAGTCATACAAATAGATATTTGAGTTCACCTATGTCTGAAAAACAAAATAAATGAATGATTAACAGAATACTAAAAAGTTAATTAAGGAGCTATAAACACTTACATATTGCCCTCATGGCGTATAGGCACTCTACCGGTGGCATGAGCAGAGGTGGCAGCGGATGTCAGACCTACTTGTGATGGTGATGCCTCTGGAGAAGCCCTTGAAGGTGCCACATGGTGTAGAGGGAGGGCTGGTGATGCTGGTGAAAGTGCTGGACTGGTAGTTATCCGTTGCATAGGATCCAACATCTGTCCAGGATTTACAATTGACTGAACGGGAGGAGGCAGGGCCCTGCGAGATAGCGGCAATGAACCATGCCTTGAAGAGCATGTGCCCCTACAGAAAGGGGAAGATCCTCTACCTGCATGGGCGGATCGACGTTTGGGAGTAGGACCTACTCGGCCCTTGCCTCTATTCATATCTGCACCAACTACATTTACATTCCATACCTTATTATGAAGAAAACAATATAGTAAATGACCTAAATATAGAAGTTGTTTAACATGATTTTTTACAATTGAATCGAAAAAGGTATCAATAGAATAAATACAAATATCTGCAATGGGATATGGTCTATTTATTAATTGCAATAGACATGGCTAGTTTAACGATCCAGCAGTCGAGTTCGTTCAAACAACTGGTTTCAATCTTCTAAATCTCCAGATCAAGATCAGAAAGGAGTTGGCCGACTCCAAGCCAGTTCTGTTGCTAGCCTGTTCTGACCGGCTGGTTCTGACAAGATTTCGGTTCGGGCTCGACTTTTTTGAGCTGCCTTTATTGCTTTTTTTTTTTTTTAAAAAAAAACATTTAGTGGAGAATTTGAATAAATTTAATTTATTTAAATGTAAATTTTTATTCAATTTAATTACAATATGGATTATAAAATAAAATTTGTTAGAAAAATATAAAAGGAAAAAAATTGTAATTTTACAATTTATAGTTTCAGTAGTTAAACATAAAAGTGATTTTTTTGAAAACTATCTATATATTTAAGTTGAAAATGCTTTATTCCTTAATATACATAGTAAATATTATATTTTTATTAAAACTTCAACAATTAATTTTCCAAAAAATTAAATTGAATTAAATTAATATTAAAAAATAAATTGAAATACAAGTTCAACATACACATCCCACATCAAAATGAATGTAATAGTTTAACTGAGTTTGTTACATATCCTACATTGAAAATACATAAGTAGAGAGATAAGGCGCCTGCATAAGAAATATTGTTATATATACCATTCTGAAACCATACATTATATTGATATATTCTTATAACTTAGACAGATATTGCTATTTTGATAGCAGAAGAGTATGAAAGAAGAGTCAAGAATTCAAGAAAAGGAGGTTCATATAGAGAAATAGAGGTCAGTTGGATTTCTTGGATTTCTTTAATTTCTCAAAATGTCAAGAATATTAAGATTAAGCAGGAAAATTCAGAAATTGTAAAATGGTTTTGGAGCCTAAGAGCCAAATTGTTCTTGCAGCATCCAGTGGTTCCTTTGCTGCTTGATTGTCTTTTTCTTTTTCCTTTGATTTTAATTTCAAACATTATTATGTTCTATTTCTTGTAAGATTTTGAATTATACACTAAAAATTTACATTCTTTGAAGTTTCTTTGAATTGGAAAGCTCTGCATTTGCTGATTTCAGGTTTTTGGTTGAAAAACATTAATTTGGCCTTAAAATTCTATTATTGTCATTATTATAAACTTATTCAGTTTGTACATTGCCTCATCCTCTCTTAATTCAGCTTTTTGAGTTGGATAAAAGTTTCAAAAAAACAAAAAATAAAATAAAAATAAAAACAAACTGAACTGAAATTCATTAAGAAATCTGCCAAAATGGCACAGAATCAGAGTACAAAAAAATGCTCCAGTAAGCATATGATAAGATTCAAATACCACACAATTTTAGGTTGTTCAGTTCAATGTGTGGCCGAACCAGGAAAATGGTCTGAAATTGAATTATCTACAAAAGAATCCGCCCATAATCCCATATTAAAAATAGCCAACAGCCAATTTCTTGAAACTAAACATTCACTGGAACCATTTTTTGCATTATGGTAAAGGCTTTTCCATAAATCTATAATCACAAGTACCATGGACTATAGAATTTGCAGCAGATACCTTATACCCAACTCAAGTGCAAACGCATCATTCACAGGTGATTCAAGCAATTACTTAAAAACAACAATGTAATACAAATTCCAAAACCTAACAAATAAAAATGGCAGTGCAGATTAAAAAATAAAAAGGTAATGCAAATATTTCAGGAAAGAAAAAAATAAGATTAAAAAAAAACCTTTGCTTCCAGAAACATGTAGACAGAATCCAGGAAGAAGGTGACCGACGACGGCGAGGTTCTCCTCTGCAGCGGCAAGCCGCGGTAGTTGGGGTTGAGGCTGTGCTGCGGCTGCGAGATGACTTTGCGCGAGGTAGAGAGAGGATTTTGTTTTCTATTTTGCGCAATTGAAAGGAAATAAGCTTCAAGCTCTGCGTTTTAACCCTCAAATTTACGACGGACAGTTCCGTCGGTAGCTGAAACATTTCCGTCGCTAATCCCACTACACTTACAAGGCCACTAACAGCATTCAATTGCTTAATCTTGGTTTTTGAGGGAGCTGAATTTGTCAGGATATACAAAACCTTGCTAGGGAGTAACGGTTTCATTAAAGTGGATTGAAAAGTGTCATTTACTTATTTTTCAGGGCATGGATCTTTATTTTAAAGAAGCTATGACTTGCGAATATATAGGAAGAGAAGATTTCAGGGGAATGGATCTTTATTTTTAAGAAGAAGCATGATTGGCGAATATATATAATATATATAATATATAATCCTTTCAGTTTTTAACGCATATGTGTTGAGAAGCTATATATATATATATATATATATTCCTTCAGTTTTAACCATTGGTGTTGGAAGCTCATTGGCCCTATTAGACTGATTTGTGCCGACAGATCCATAAAAGGGGCATAGTGTTCCCTTTCCACTGTTTAAATGAATTCTATACTTAGGGTTCAAGTTCGATATCTTTAATTTAGGGAGAAAGAATTTCTGCTATTTCATTTTACCCTTTGAAGTTTACTGTTAAGCTAAATGCAAATGATGCATAACCTTAAATATTTTTACAGTATTATAAATTTAAAATTTTAAAATTTTTATTTTAATATTGCAAAATAAATTTTTTATAAAATATTTTGGGAGAAGAATATTTTTATGGGAATCTAAGTGGTCTACAGAATATAAACATTATTGATCCTAGCAAAACTTAAGTTTGAAGTGGAATGGGCGCAAACCTTAAACACTGGGATATTGTGAGGATGAGGTGTTCGCCTTTGTTTTTCATACTTTTTCTTTCTGCTATGTAACTCAGGGCTTTACTGTGCTTATTCCAAAGATTCAATCTCTTGAGTTGATTTCATAGTTTCACCCTATTATTCTATGCAATGTGTTGTATTAAGTAGTGATGAAGGTTCTTACTAATCCGCTGAAGTTTTATATAAGGCAGGTTTTAGAACTATCGGTTTCGGTTTTAAAATCACTGTTTCAATTATAAAAAAAAAAAAAGGTAAAACTAAAACCAAGCTACTTTAGACGGGGTTTTTAAGACGGTTTTAAAACCGTCGATTTCAGTTTTATTCTGATTTTAAACCAAAATGAGATAATATATTTTAAATTTTTTTAAATATTTTTTTAGATTTATAGCTTGAATAAATAATAATGATACAAATAATAAATATTACTATTGAAAAAACTAAACCAATTTAATTAAAAAATTTAAAAGTTACTTTAAAAAATTATAATAAAAAAATTAATTGAGAGTTTTTCTAAGAACATATTTTTATAATTTTAGATCAGAACCGCCGGTTTTGAATCAAAATCACCGGTTTCAATTTCAAAAACTGAAGAACTGGAATCGATTTATTTTAAGTGTATGGTTTCGGTTACGGTTTGAAATCATAATCGTTAAAAATAAAAGAAGATAATTCAATGCTATAAAACTTTGATACAAATCACTGATTCCATTTTTTGAATGATATGTAATGGCATCTAATCCAACATTTCATATTCCAATATCACCAATAATTATACCTAAAATTTCAGATGCAATATAGTAATATCTATCATACTTTTCCCTATGAGTTATTAATTATAAATGTATCTAAAGGACACCCTTGAATAAATTTGGTTTTTGTCAATTTGGAAGCTTTTTATAAATTTATTATGCACATCAACTATCTCTTGCGATTCTTTTAATAAACTTTCATCAACGTTATGATCATTACTGTTATCTTCTCGATAATTTATTTTGTTAACAACTGAATCAGATTGTCGGCCATCGTTATTGAGAAAGATATGTGAAAAATATATATGATTAGAAGAAATTTCAGTTATGTTGTACGCTCACTACACTAGCTGATAGCCTCTAAGATATCAGAGATTACTTTAGAAGGGTTAACTGTACTGTAGGGTTTTGTTTTGAGATTGAAATTCAATTTCTATTTAAAATTCTATTTAAAATAGGAAGACATATCAATTTCTATTTAAAATTCTACGTGGAATACCTACTTAGTCACCATAATTATGAGAATTTTATATATAAATTATAGATTGGTCCCGAAAAAATATTTTGCATTCTAGATTGTAGTTAGTTAATCTTTAATTTTATTTATCTAATTTTTCCTATACATAGTCTAAAAATTGAATCGAATTGGGACTCGGGGAAAAAGAAAGGAGGGAAGGAGAAAGGGTATATAAATAACACAATATGCCATTTATGTGATTTGAACCAACTCAATAAACTTGACTATTTATCATCTTAATAATATTTCTAGCTGATCATGTTAAAAGTAGAGACTTGATTAAAAATAAAAAATTTTAGAAAGTTAAGCACCAAAATTTATAATTTTATCAAAAAATTTTTATGTTAATATGTAGTTCTAATAATCAACCAACGGATTGTCTGGGTGGCAAGAATTCAAGTCCTGAAAGAGGTAATTGTCAATTTTTTTTTTTTAAAAAACAAAAAAATCCAACAGCTAAACAAAAATTAAAAAAAAAAAACTTTGACTATCATTATTTTTATTTAAAATTGATATTTGAAAGATAAAATCCATAATAATGTCTATATAATAATATCTAATTTTTTAATGTTTAAATTATATTATTAATTTTTTATTTATTCACGGATAAGGGTAATATTTAAATAAAATATTCTCCTGATTCTAATTTTTTAATCTTGTAAGTGAATATTGTCAACTTCAACAAATTACCAAAAAAAAAAAAAAAAAATTTGCTACGCTGATTCTAATCTTTTATTAAGTCTTGTAAGTGAAATATTGTCAATTCTAACAAATTAAAAAAAAAAAACAAAAAGAAAGGATTGAGTTGTAGTAAAAAAAAAAAAAAAAAAGAAAGATTGATGTAAACCATTTTATAGAAAAAAAGCTAGCATAGTGTTTTTGATAATTTCATGAAGGGTTTTTGTATTTTTTTTTCCATCTAAAAGAATAAAGGAAAAACAATTTTTGTTTTCCCTAAAAAAAAAAAAAAATTTTTTGTTAATCATGAGCCACGTGTACAATGCGTGGCGAAACGGGAATGTATGAGTATTCGGACAGTAGACTAATCCTTCCACCGAATTGGATTGTACCTTTTTTTTAACGGACTTCAATTATAATAATTAATAATTAATAATTTCTTAAAAAAAAAAAAAAAATAATAGATAAAATAAAATGTGGAAGGAACAGAAAAGATGGTTTGGATCCGTTTTAAGGGAGCGAATTTCGGCTGTAATTGAAACTGTCGTCTCTAAGAGCGAAGTTGCTGCTCTTTGCTGGTGGCAGTGGTGGTGGCGTTGGTGAGGCAGTGCCTCAATGTCGGTGCAAAAAGCTGACCAAAGCCTGGTCGACGTCGTTTTAGGCTTTGGCCTTGTTTCTCCGATGTGATCTCTGTTTCTCTGATCTTTTTTTTGTGCGGTTTTTTCATTGATTCATTTCAAAGATCGGAAGATTGTAGCATTTTAGCTGGTTGGGTTTGCAACGCTCTCTGTTCCTCCTGGTTGAGGTTGATTCTTTTTTCAAACTCGTCATTTTCCTTTTCTAAGATTATTTTTGTTTTTGTGTTTTGGGATGCTGTTAATTTAATGGAATTGATTTGTTGAAGAAATAAAATCAAATTCTTTGTTGGATTGGATCTTACAAGGGGATTTGTTTATTTATTGGAAAGTGTGTTTTTTCTTGTATTGGGGGAAGTTTTTGCAATTGTGAAAGGTATGATTTAGGTATGATTTACAGCATTTAACTGGTTTCATCGCTTTGTGTGTGTATATATTCCGATTCTTGCAAAGCATTGTAGTCCATTTGAAGTCAATTCCTACTATAACATATTGGAATTGCAATACTAGATTTATTTACCCATTTAACCCATTAATTTCTAATGAAAAAAATTTGTTACCAAATTGGGTCTGTCTCTCTTTTTTTTCCTCATTCTCTATATGATGGTAGTTGGATATTGAAGGAAAGGATTGATATGCTCCTGTGAATTAAGATGTCACCTTATCCAATGAAGTCTAATGAAAATCAAATGAATTTTGTAACCAAGTTGGGCTCTATATATAAATGAAAAATCAAATGATTTTGTAACCGAAGTTGCGGCTCTATATATATATATATATATACTATATAATATATAAAGTAATGAACTGCTTTTTTTAATTTTGGAGATTTTTTATTGGATTTTTTTTTGTATTTTTATTTTATTTTCTCTATATGGTTGAGTGAATAATTGAAGGAAGGATTATATATAATGGGGGCGCAGTGACTGAACTGATTATTTTGTTTTTGGTAGACTTTTATTGATTTTTTTGGTAATAGTTTAATTTTTCTCTATAATTGTATATATATATATATATATATAAAGTGAATGAACTGCTTTTTTATTTTTGGAGATTTTTATTGGATTTTGTATTTTATTTCTCTATATGGTTGTAGTTGAATATTGAAGGAAAGGATTATATATAATGGCGCAGTGAATGAACTGATTTTTTGTTTTTGGAGACTTTTATTGGATTTTGTAATATTTTATTTCTCTATATGGTTGTAGTTGAATAGTGAAGGAAAGGATTGATATGCACCTTTGAATTAAGATGTCCCTCAAAAGCATTGTGCGTGAGCTGAGGGAAATGACAGATGGAATTGGAAGCATATCAAGGCGGCGGGTTGATGGGAAGCCTTGGCGCGGACGTGGCAGGGCAAGGTCACATATTGCACCAGATGAAACTCCACCTGAATCAGAGCCGATTGAACAGGGCCAGTGGGCAAATCTACCACCAGAACTGCTATTGGATATCATTAGAAGGGTAGAAGAAAGTGAGACCTTGTGGCCTGCTCGTGCTGTTGTTGTTTCTTGTGCTTTGGTTTGTAGGTCATGGAGGGAAGTCACAAAGGAAATTGTCAAAACTCCTGAGCAATGTGGGAGGCTAACATTTCCCATCTCGTTGAAGCAGGTAATGCTATTCCCATCCCCTTTCCCATCCCTCCCCTGATTTACTTAATTACTGTTTGCTCTAACTTCTCTTTGGTGTTTGAAACTAGCCGGGTTCTCGAGAGTCTCCCATACAGTGCTTTATTAGAAGAGATGCTGCAACTTGTTCATATCTATTGTACTATGGTTTGGTTCCATGTGAGTATTGCTACTCTGACTCATATTTTTCCTTTCTTTTCATCATGGCAATTTATGCTTGTAGCTATTAATACCAGAAACGAAAGAAAACAAAAGTTGTTCACCGGTGTACCTGATGAGAAATGCTTAAGACTATTTTTCTGCCATTATTTATTTGTCTAGACTCTTGGTATTCCATTTGCTGCTGGAATGTAAATGTGATTGCCTTTTTTTAAACCTCCTGTTTATCGATTTTATAAAGAACGGTGACATTTCAATAATTCTTTCTGGTAGGAATTTTTGGGAACTCAATTTAATCTTGCTTTATATAAGTAGGGAAGTATTGTAGTTTCAAGGATAAAACAATATGGCTGATGATATGTTGGAGAACGCTATTCATTATCCCATTTTTCTGGTCTAGGAATTTCAGTTGATCAGAAAGCTCTGTTGTTTACATATTGTGAGGAAACATCACAAGTTACTAAAACTTCTTTTTTAATGGATTCATAGCTGAGACCGAGAGTGACAAATTGCTATTAGCTGCCAAAAAGATCAGAAGAGCAACATGCACAGACTTCATTATATCATTGGTTGCGGATGATTTTTCTCGCACCAGCAGCACTTATGTTGGTAAACTGAGGTAAGTCTTGCACATCATATATGCTATAATTAGCCTTGCCAAAATTTTTTAATGCCCAAACACCTTATTTTCTATCATTTTCCAGGTCTAACTTTTTAGGAACCAAATTCACCATATTCGATAGTCAACCTACATGTGAAGTGCCAATTCAACCAGCTAGCAGGACGCTTCGCAGATTCCATTCTAGGCAGGTTTCTCCAAAATTACCTGCATCTTCTTACTACAAGGGCACTATCACATATGAACTCAATGTTCTCCGCACGAGAGGGCCAAGGAGAATGCATTGCATTATGCACTCCATTCCTGTCTCTTCCATTGAGGAGGGGGGCACTGCCCCAACACCAACATCATTCCCAGAGAATTTTGATGATCGATTATCTTTCTCATCAGCTTCAAAAGGAAAGGAACCATTCTCAGATGTGAGTTTGGCAACCCCCTCAGAGTCACCAGCAATAGTCCATGGCTCTGCAGAGCCATTAATACTTAAAAACAAGGCCCCTAGATGGCACGAACAGCTACAGTGCTGGTGTCTGAATTTCCGAGGGCGTGTTACTGTTGCTTCTGTTAAGAATTTTCAGCTTGTTGCTGCTGTTGAGCCATCCCACAACATTTCAGCAGAAGAGCAAGAGAAAGTGATCTTACAATTTGGAAAAATTGGAAAAGACATCTTCACTATGGATTATCGTTACCCACTTTCTGCCTTTCAAGCCTTTGCAATCTGCCTGAGCAGCTTCGACACCAAACCAGCATGTGAATGATATGGTGCCTGAAAAATCGTTACCATAGTTTGCTGAATTGCTTCCTCACTTTTGAAACACATGCACTCTATGTGTAGCTCATCATGCATGACCTTTGCAGCTGATATTAGTGGCTTGATCTGTATTTCTTCTGATCATCAAATTTGACTTGTACTTTGTTTCATCAACTGAACGCTAATGCTAAATTAAAGAAGTTCAATGTACTGTATCTGTATAATTGTGCAGTATTCCCTTTAAGACTTGTCTAAATTAGCTAGAGCCTGCATTTCAACCCTTAACTGTTAGAGGCAATGACTTAGCTCTTAACTTTACTGCCTGATGTTATCCTTGAGCCTCGCATTGGAAGCGGAGCTGAACCGTGTAGAATTTTATAACTCCTCAAATTCGTTTAAATATTCATTTAAATATCTGTATCCAATAATATTTCCACTCATATTTTTCTCAAACCAGTTAAGTTGGTAGTATAAATTTTAAATTAAAGAGTGAATTTCATATGTTTTAATCATAAAAATTTCGTAACAGCTAAACTGTACTACAAAACTACAAATCTATCTGCAAGGAACGAAATGCTTGGAAGTTGGGACATGCATTAGGGGACACTAATTCTTCAAGGAAAGCAAAGCAGTGTGATTCTAACCTACTAGGCTGGTTTAGCATCTTATCGCAATCAATTTTGGCCAAAAGTTTGATCTCATAAGATACCTAGGAATATTGCAAAAGGGTTTTGGACCGTTTGGTACATGGTTTGTTACTGTTAGTTTCACTTGCACTGAATCTGGTTGCAAGGATTAATATATAACGAGTTTCGCACAAGAAACTGAAGATTTATAGTTTAACCTAATTGGAAAAGTAGTGATCAAAATTTGAATATAGTGATATAAAAATAAAAAAATAATAAATAAATGAAACCATTTAATAATGCTCTCAAATCTAAATAAAGGCTTCTTAAATCCCATTAAAAGACAGGCATAGATAAACAATGGCTTAGCTTGAGTTTGACATGGAAAGTCAATTCTCCAGCAATTCAAATATAGGTGGAACCTGTTGTTAGCACAAATAGAAACAAGTAGGTGGAAACCTAAATTGAACAGCCTCAAGTTAGAACTATCATTTAAAAACAGATTGAAACTCTTAACACTAGACAAAGCCACATACCTAGAAAACTGATCGTTATAAGGTAGGGCCATAATTTTAAACCATTCAATTAACTTTCTTTTCCACTCAGCTTTACTCTTTGTCACTCAAAAGCATACGGTAACAATGTTTCTGGTGACAATTGGTAATATTATCTCAATCTGAATATCTTCTTTCTTTGGTAATTGCAGAACGTAAGAGTTTACAGATGCCCAAAAATGAAGCTCGCATATTCTTGGATGGTCAATCCAGGGTTCTATTCCTTTGCTTTCTTGCTAGATCACATTTCTTATCTCACAGAAGAGTATGTTATAAACTCTCTTGAAGTAAATTGAAAAGGCTGATGGGGTATAGGATTCCTGCAATAGAGCATTTAAAAAGAAAGTTTCACTAAGAATGGCAGTGTTCAGCTTCTGATAAGCAAAAAATAGGAAGGGTGCATAAGATGACTCACGTTCGAGGTCCATAAACTTTGATCTGCCGTACATGAGTATCCCTTCCATTAAGATGATTTGATAGCACCGCAATTTGTAACATAAATGTATTGACAAAAGTTTCCCTGCCAAACAAATTAGTAGAAAGGTATTTACAATTTTAAGTACAAGTTTAAGAAATCAAATTAGACATTTCCATAAGTTATGTATTCCTACACTGCAGATGTTTTATACTGTCCAAATACATACTTTTTTCACTAAGATTTTCATCAATCCAAGAGTAATATCCAATGATCCATAAGATACTCCTCATACCAAATGACATTTTGAACCATAATTCTGATGGCTTTTTTTCCGGCTTATTGAAAGCAGGCCAAGTTCTCAGGGCTCAAGATGCCATCTAGACAAAAAAATAACTAAATAAAAAGAAACTTCCAATTCTATAAGGATGATGAACTTCTCAGGCTCAGCAAAATCAGAATAGAAGAGGATCAAAATCTTAATAGCAAGTTGATGAGAAAAAATTGGACAAGAATCACATAGAATATTCTTGTTATTCAGGATCAGATGGCAAGAGAAACAACAACCTGCAGCATAACTGAGGCATTTACTGGTAATAAAAACATATCATTCTCAAAATGAAAAGACAGAAATACAGAAGTACACTAGCTTCAGACTTCCATTCAATGAATAAACTCTCCAAAACTTGATTCCATTTGGACAAATCTAGAAATTTTTCAAACTTATGTATACTTCTATAATACTCAAAGCATTTGTTGGCTTGACATCAAGAGGATCAAGTAGCAACTTTGATTTCAAATGAAACAGAAACAAAAAAAATATTTCATTGCAAGGTCCAATTTTGACCTACTATGATTAAAATAAGATTATTATCTTTAATCATTCATTTGCTAGATATAGTCTACCAATGATCTTACAATAGTTAATGGCATTGAACTTCATGTCTGCATAACTTTTTTGAGATGTTTATCAGCTTTCAGTTCTAGGGAATAGTAGCTATTTAAGCCTCTTATGAGAAATATTAGATTTGAGCCCCAAACACAAGAACCGAGTGGAAGCTCAACTTAAACTATAAATTAAAGATGAGGCAAAAGGAAAAAATAAATTTGCAAAGTAGGTAAAAAGGGAGACTCAGCGCATGGGCATAGTAGTTGTTACCTAGGATCATTTCCAGATAAGGATAGATAAACCCAGCCAGATGGCTTGACAAGCTCCATAGTCTTGATCTCCTAAAGGTAGATCAGAACAGGTAATACCAAGCCAAATTAAAGCTTCACTCAGATTTAATACAAGAAGGGGAAAAAAACAAAACCTGCAAACTTTACTAACATACCTTCAAGTTATGAAATCCATCGCCAGCTCGAATAGAGATCTTACTTGGGGTATAGCTCTCATCAAGCTTGAAATCCACATAGAGTATAACCAGCTTCAACTCCGAACAAAAGAAAACAATATCCCACAGTTAACTCCTAGCTTCTAGAAAATGAATAAACAAAAATGATCTTTTTTTTTTAACAAATTAGACCATGTCAAAGTATAAGAAACCCAGATTCATACTTGCAGCTTTACTTTCTTCTGGAATTGAATATTCACCAAATGAGGCTGTGCACCGTCAGATCTAACAAATCACACAAACACACACACACACAAAAGGAGAAACATCATTCAAAGGTTTCATATATAGAAAAAGAGAGATTATAGAGAAATGAAAATAGTAACGTTTGGTTAGATACTGCCAAAAGGAATCAAGGTTGTCATCACGAAGAGAAGATACGCAATTGCCAGGTTTGCAAGAGCTGACACTCCAAGCAGCCTTTTTGCCCATTTCTCTAAGATCATCATCTACAATCAGATGTTGAGTCCCTCCTGTAATCTTCCCTTCTTCTTCGCCCTCTGACGATTCAGTCGCCATTTTCTATTCCAATCTGCAAATATAACTGCACAAGAAAGAAGAACAACCACGTCAAAATGACAAATTTGGCGCAAATTGTCAAAAAAATTCTATAAATTATTCAACATTTCTTTGAGGCATTTTATCAAACAACTGAATTACAATACACAACAGTGAAAACTTTAAATACTAAGCTCAAATCCATAAATAAACTCAAAACCTAATTCTTCTCACAAAGTAACAGCTTGATGCCTCAACTCAAAAAAAAAGAAAGAAAGGTTGCAAGACTTTCTTATTCCCAAACTGAGGAAAAGTCCATTTGGAACAAAACAGGAAGAATTAGACTGAGTATGTGATGGGAGGAAAGAGAGAGAAGCAAAAGACAGAACAAAGAACATAGGTGAAGGGAAAATGCTTCAGCCAAGCATATCACAGTTACCTTATGTGCGGCCGATCCAGTGGCGGAGGTATTGTTGGATAGCTAGTGGGATGGTGGTCGTTTACCGCTGTTGAGGAAATGTAGCTAACAGTAGATGAATTTGGGGGAGGGAAAATGGGTTTAATTTTGGCAAAGGAATTTTGCTTTTGCTTTTTCAATTAAATTACTTCATTCCTCCCATTTTATTTGCATGTTTTAATCAAACAATCATATTAAAAATTTAGTCAATAAAAATTATTTTATCTTTTTTTTATCCTTAAATATATTAATAGAATTTTTTCATTTAATAAATGATCATAAATGTTATCATGGAAAAATAAATTATTTATATGTATAAATTTAGAAACCTTGCAAATATTTTGAAACATCAAAAAAAGGAATAACAAGTAAACAAAATGAGACGGAAAGAGTATTATTTAATCCTTAAAATTTCACCAAATCAATAAATTCATCCATCTCTTTTCAAAAATAAATTAAATGATTCTTGATAGTTTTTTGTTTTTTAACAAAATAGTACTTTCATTCAAAATTATTAAAATATTTCATTAAGTGAAATAAAGAGATTAAACACATCAAAATATAGTAAAAAGTTTTAGAGTCTCGTTGTCTGACACCAGCTTCCGCGTGGTTCGTCCTCGAACCATATATGTGACATCCAGGTTTGGGGGCACCTACACTTTAGGCAAATCTCACATCGGCTAAGCACAAGGTGGAAGTAATGTACAAAAGGTGTGGCAGGCCTTAGGATGGCATGACGCGTTTTGGGCTATCATGCGTGGTTTCGCTGGCCCAGGAACAAAACCGTGTGGGCGGTTGGCCCAAAGTGAACAATATCATGCTCGGCCTGGGCTGTTACAAACTTGGTATCAGAGCCAAGCCTTGTCCCTCTAGCCGGTGGTGGGGCAAACCTCAGCGAGGACGCTGAGTCCCTAAGGGGGGGTGTATGTCCAATATCATGCTCCGGCTGGGCCTGTTACAAACTTGGTATCAGAGCCAAGCCTGTCCCCTCAGAGCCAAGCCTTGTCCCTCTAGCCGGTGGTGGGGCAAACCTCAGCGAGGACGCTGAGTCCCTAAGGGGGGGTGTATGTGACATCCCAGGTTTGGGATTGGCAGGATCCACACGATTTTGTCCCACAAGTGAAATGAGAAACTTCCCAGGTGGTCACACATCTTAAAATTTCCGTTAAGCGAGCACGCTTAACCTTAGAGTTCTTCCAACTCTCTAAGCCATTTCACCAAAAAAACGCCTCTGTTGATTAGTTTCCCCCTTTACAATATATGATCTGATTCATTCTTGTGTCCCTCAATCAGGATATCACACTTGATGTTCGTTTTCCTCTTAAGTAAACGACAAATGAGAATTAAGAAAAGTAGTGGTGATTGGATATATATCTCTTTCAAATATGAACAATTGAAGAGCTTTTGCTTTCTTTGTGGATTGTTGGGTCATTCTTATTGCTTTTCTTCTTTACTTGTAGAGGGACGTGTTCCTTTTGAAAGGTTGTAAGACCCACAACTCGGGGCAAATTCTCATAAGAATAAAAACTCTTTTGGAGATCGGTGGTTGAGGAATGAATCGCTAATTATGGAAACATCTAAACTAGAAACCATGGTAGTTGATGAGGGCTTGAACAATTGTTTTTTTTTGGAAATAAAGAAGTGGGAGAAAGTGGAGGTTATATGAAGGTCGGTAATGTGGATAAAAACCCCTCTTCTAGCACTATGATTAAATTTGAGCTTCATATTAGGCATTGTACTATGGTTGGGCCTCCATTTCATACCGATCAGTTGATTATAATGGATGCTAAATGATATAGACATGTTTGAGACTCCTTCTATTTATAATCATTTGGAAAATATTGATTATAGACTCATGATTTCATAAGGTCCTGGTTGCTAGGCCCACTAAGCCTAATAAATTGCCTTAGCTGGAACTGTCGTGGTCATAATCCATGCATAGTATAAGTCTTAAAGAATCTTATTTGTACATATCAGCCAAAGTTTATTTTTTCAATTGAAACTAAGCTTAGTAGAGGTAGAATTGAATATGTTCACAAATATCTGGGTTATGAAAGAAGCTTTGTTATGGACAGTATTGGGGTTAAGTGGGGGTTTGGCTCTCCTATGGAAGATTAAAAATTTAATCAAACTCATTAGTTACTCTCAATTTTGTATTGGTGTCTTAGTGTCTTTGCTGGATGTGGGTGAACATAGGCTAATATGTTTTTATAGTTGACTAGAGAGGAGTAACAGGAGCGAATCTTAGGCTTTACTGAAGTCTCTCAAAGATAACTCAAAACCACCTTGGATTTGCTTGAGAGGTTATAATGATCTATTATGCTCCTCAGAAAAGCGGGGTAGGGTCACTCAACCTTAAAAGTGTCTAGATGGATTCAAAAATATTGTACAAGTGGGCTTTTTGATATGGGTATGGATGAGTATCCACATGGGAGAAGAGAAGAGGGTCGGTTAACTAGGTTAAAGAACCGTTATAAAGTTCTGGCTTCCTTATCTTGGCTTTAATGTTTTTATTGGATGGAATGTTAAAAATCTGGTGGCGCCCTCTTTAGACCACTTACCTCCTTTACTATCTCCTTCTGCTTATATTATAATGGATAGTGTTTATATTTTTGAGAACTTGTAGTTGTATGATCCTGATTACAAAGCTTTAGTTAAACAAAGCTAGTTGTCTACCTCCTCCTCTTTTGTTATCGATAAAATAGCAGACTGTAACAGAGTTTTATTGATTTGGAGTGGTGGCCTTTTGAAGCTGCAACATCAAAAGGAGTTGCCACTTCTACATTCCAAGAGAGATGTGTCGTCTTTGGAAAAATACGTGGAGACTAGAAAATTACATGAAGAATGTTTAGAGGAGATGGAAGCCTTTTGGAAACAATGAGCCAAACAATTTTGGCTTTAAAGATGGCGATTCCAATTTCGAATTTTTTCATGCCCATTCAAGTTCTCGAAAGGCCAAAAATTGAATATTAAAGTTATATGATAAATTTTGGGATTTGGCATGAATGGGGAACAAGTTTGGAGGAACTTATGGCTAATTATTTTTCTGATATTTTCAATTATAACAGTAATGAGGGACAAGAAACGTCTGATGGTATTCCACATGATAACATAAGAACATAATCAAGTGTTATTTGGAGACCTTTACAGTTAAGGAGGTGAAGGAAGCACTTTTTTTTATGCATATGGAAAAATCACAAGGTCCAGATGGCGTGAATCCCGTGTTTTATCAATATTTTTGGAACAGAGTTAGGCTAGATGTCACTTTAGCTTACTTGCAGTACTTGAATTAAGATTCTGTATGCGTAAAATTTGTTCCTGAAGATTAAGAAACAAAAATACAAAAATATAAATTGTATTTATGATATTAAGTGGATATAATCTCTAGTGTGGAATCTCTTATGACAAAGAAGATTAACCTCTGATTCTGCTCTTAGTTGTTGCGAACACAATTCAATCAAAACGACTTGATTTTGAAAACGATTCAATGGTCAAAGGGACTTGACATTGAATTGATGTAAAACGAACTTTGGATGATTCAAGGGTCGAGGAGACTTGATCTTGAATTGAAATTGAAAGAACTTTGATTTTTTGGACTTGAGAGAGAGCTTTGTAGTATTGAGTTTGACAGAGCTTTGAGGCTTTTTTTCTGTCTTTCTCTCTATATGTGTGTCCCCGTATGTGAAGAGAGGCCTCCTATTTATAGAGATTTGAGGAAGTCCCCTTGTCAAGTATATAATTTGATTGGTCCACTTGGCAAGCTCTCATTGGCATTACTGTATCACTTAACTTATGCAGACACCTGACTTATACTCCAAGATTTAATTTAATTGGTCCACTTGGCGAATTTTTATTAGACTTTATTGCATTATTTATTTATGCAGTAAATAATATTTATCCAATAATTTTATTTTAATAACCATTTAATATTTTGTTTGGTTATTAAAGCAAATTATTTAATTTAACTAATCAATAATTTAATTGACTAATTAAATATTAAGTTAATAATTAAAATTAACTTAATAAAATTTTGGTCTTTACAAATGCTCTCTCGAGACTTGTCCAAGAATTTATTTTAACAGGTCTCAAAAATTTGAAGAAGACAATTTTTTTTTTTTTAAATTTTAACTTATGCGCCCTTTTTTTATGGCATGAGAAAAAAGAAATTAGCAACTCTAATTTAATAGGCTAGTTATATTGTTTTTAGCCTAAATAGTGAAACTCTAATTTTTTTTATAATTAGAATTTCCTTTTTTTTTTAATTTCCTGTCCTTCAAGAAATTGAAATCATTAAAGATTTTGGAGTTAACAATTTAAATCCTTGTCAAATTTGGAGTTAAAGATTTAAATCCTTATCGAATTTAGAGATGAAAATTCAAACCTTAAGGAATTTGGAATTGAAAATTTAAATCATTGTCGAATTTAGGGTTGAGAACTTAAATCCTTGTCGAACTTAGGGTTGACAAATCTATATAAAGGGAATCCTTTGCTTGATATTCTTTTTTTCCATATCAAACTTAAGCAATTACGAGTTGGAACAGTTCTTTACAATTGCCCTGGTATGTTTTTCTTCTTTTTAACTGAATGCTCTGGCCAAATCCATGAAATCAAATTAATTTCTAGTTATCCTCTCCATATTTTAGCTGCTCCTAATCTCCTTCTTCTTTTAACTTTGAATGTCCTTCACACCATTAGTCAAAAGTTGATGGCTTTATATGTATATATGTCAACATATGCCAAATTACAACGCATCATGACATCATCCATTAGGCCTTTGTATTGAATCTGTGGTCTTCATGTGCTCTCTTTTGCATGCATATTTAATTTAAGCACAACATTGATTTGTCTCCTTTTTGCATGCTATTCATACTTCGTTGCTTTTAGTTGCATGAATTTCATAGCTTAGTTCTTTTTTTTTTTTGAAAGGATTATTTTCTTCTTCGATGTTGCTT